CGAATCAGCATTTTTTGGGGGGAAATTGAGGGTGGACCTTGAACTTATCACATCTTTCTATAAAAGTTTTCACCTTTTAGTTCAGTTATTAACTTGACATGTTAAGGCCAGAAATGCCCAAGTAGACGATCCATCTTCTCTGTATTGATTTGCCTGTGTAGTCTGTAAGAGGGCTTTTGCCCAGTAAATGGCAGAACAAAGTGACAGGGTATCCAACCAGAATCAATGCTCAATGGTTTTCTCTTTTCCCTATCAGTGGAGACTTGATCAAGCAATCCCACTTCTGTATTGAAGAGACAAATGAGATGCTTTCTGGTTGTTTGGTTTCTCGAGTTTTACATAGCTAAGTGAATTTCAGGATTGCCTGTTTAGGGAAGTTTATTAGATGCAAGATGGAAGCACACACCTCAATATCCAAGTGAAGATCCTAGCTCTAGAATTTCCATTGAGGATCCTCTACATGAAAGTTCATTATCATCATTTCCTCTATCCTACGTAACACCACTTACTTGACACCACTTAATGGAGCATTTTGTACACCTAAGGCGTTGTGTGAACTCTTGATATTCATTATCTTGTGTAGTCCCCACCACTGCCTTATGCAATGGTTATATTAGCTTAGAGAGATTTAGTCACCTGCCCAGCACGGCACGCCACTCGCGAGCTGTACAGCTAGCTAGGATGTGAACCCGCTTCCACTGACACCAAAGTCTTTCATTCTGTAGGAAAGGTTATCCCTTATGCATTGTGAAAAGGAAAGCTCTGTATTAACTCAAGTTTGTTTAGACCATTATAGCCAAGCGACTGTTGCCTAAGTCACCACCGATACGTGGTATCTAAAGAGCATTTGATGGACCATCATTTAGAGATGAGGATACGCAGACTCAGTGAGGATGAAAGGCTTGTCCCAGGCTCCACTGACACACAATGACAGAATCAAGAGCCTCACCGAGTCGCACGCTTTCCAGCCTGGCACCCTTTGCACTCTGTGTTTCTTTGCATGGTAGGAGGGGATCCTCAGTGATGTCTGAGTGGCACAGTTTGGGGACAGGAATGTGTTTGTTTGCGGAAGAGCAGCCAGTTGTCATCCAGCCACAGAGAGACATACCGTTGTCCCCAGAGCGACCTGACTGGCAGGTGAGGGCAGCATGTGGAATGTCTGCCCCAGCCTTGGGAGCCGGGCTGGCCGTGGCCAGGTCTCGGGGGGAAGACCAGACCAAGGCTGTTTTAAGAGGTGTGTTGGTTTCCTGTTGCTGTTGTAACACATTCCTGCAAACTTAGCTGCCAAAACAACACGTATTTATTACCTCACAGTTCTGGAAGTCAGAAGTCCAGGGGTCTCACAAGGCTGAAATCAAGGTGTTGGCCAGCCTGGGCTCCTCTATGGAGACTGTGGGGGAGAAGCACCTCCAGCCTCATTCAGGCTGCGGGCACAATTCAGTTCTGTGCTGTCGTAGGACTCTGTTTCTTTCCTGGCTCATGAAAAACTGCCTGTCTCAGCTTCCAGCTGCCCACACATCCTGGCTCCTGGCCCTGTTCATCTTCAAAGCTGGCAATGGCCAGTTGAGTCTTTCTCACACGTTGAATCTCTGACCTCCCCTTCTGCCTCATCTCTCTTGTCTCCAGTCAGAGAAAGCTTTTTGCATTTAAACGACTCATGGGATTAAATTGGGTCCACCTGAGTAATCCAGGATACCCTCCCTATTTATAGGTTCGTAACCTCACATCTGCAAAGTCCCTTTTACCATGTCACATAGCATAGTCCCAGGTTCTGGGGATTAGGGTGCACGCGTTGTTGGGGGGAAGTATTCTGCCAACCAGAAGAGAACACAAACTGCTGACCACATTTGAGCATTTGTTTCTGTCGTTGTAAAGAGCTCACAGCATGGACCAGTGTGTGTGATGGAGCCTGGGCAATCTACACTCCCAGGAATCTGTCTCTTTCTCCCCCTGCTTACGCTGCCCCCAGGAAGGCCAGTCCACGCACCCCCAACCCCAGTTAGTGTCTCAGGGGTTTTGAGTTTAAGTATCTTTCAAATATCTTTCTTCCATAGTAATATTTAAAAAGCCCAATTCCTCTGCTTTCCATCACATTTACATTAGTCTCCATGGTCCTCAAGAAGTTATTAATAACACTGCTCTGCCTGGCAGTTTCTCCACAGCTTTTCATGTACACCATCCTTTACAATCCACCTAACAGCCCCTCAAGGTCAGTCACATGATGGTGATGATGATAATGATGATGATGATGATAATGATGATCCCATGTAAAAACTCTTAAAAAATAAGGCTCCGAAAGGTGAGTGATTTGTAGAAGGTCACGCAGCAGATAAGCAACGGAGCCAGGATTGAGACCTCCCATTACAAATCCCGGCTTCTCTCCACCACCCCAGGCAGCCTTCCCTCACTTCCCTGTCACTTCTTTTTGCCCCTTTTCATTTTCCCGTTCATTAATCAGTTTCATTACCCTGTTCTCCTCTCTCTTCACCATCTCCACACATTTCATTTAAATTGTGGTGCTACAAATTAGTTCCTGAGAGCTGCCATTTCATTCCCATAGCATATTTATGCCCAATTTTTCATGGCTTTATTTGTTGATATCCATGCTGGGTACTGTACCCAGTTGGATTTGATTCCTAGTCCTTGCATGCAGAGCCCAGATTCTGTGAGGATGTGAATTTTGCAAAGTGTAATCCCATTAGTGCTGCAGACTGGAGATGTGTGGGAGGTAAAATCTCTGTTATGAAAAACCTCTGAGCCAGTGTCCTCTTTTTTTTTTTATTGAGGTAAAATTTTTATGTGACACATTAGTTTCAGGTGTACAACGTTGTAACTTGGTATTTGTATGCACTACAACATTATCAGCGCCGTACGTCTAGTTACCACCCATCAGCATACAATGTCCTCTTTCTTGAACGAGTTTTAAGGCAATCAAATGAAACAAAACCAAGAGCCACAGGGAAAACCACCAGCTTAGCCTAGGAAGTCTAATTTATGAGTTCATTTAAGGACTAAACCATTGAACTTGGCGAATTGATAGATGCTGGTAAAGCACAATTTACTTTGAATTGAAAAGAAAAAAGAAATGTTAAGAGGCAAGCACATCACTCAAATTCTTATTTTTGGTGAAAAAAAAGATGACTGATAATAGCCAGTGCTTACTGTACACCAGACACTGTCCTAGAGACTGTGTACATATTGATCAGTTAATCATTACAACCCTAGAAATTGAGTGTCATTATCACGCCCATTTTACAGATAAGGAAATCAAGGCACAGCAAAGATAAATACTTTGCCCAAGGTCACACTGCGAATTTTACAGAGCCAGGATTTGAATCTAGGCACTCAGCCCCATGTTCTCAGTCACTGTCATACTGCCTCTCTAATGCTCGTCATCTCGCTGTATTTTAAGTGAGGAAGGAGAGGGCCAGGAGAATGAAGGATGGAGGAGATAGGAACTGTTTCCCTTTCTGGGGCTTTGGGCTCTTCCAATCTACTGTTCTTTTCTGTCTACATTACCCTGGGTAGAATCTTAACTTCTATGTGTGCGTATGTGTTGGGGATGGGTCCCTTTTTGAGAGGAGGGGCCTAGCAAAGCTGAGAGGGTCTTTCCTGTTTGAACTTTCAGAGGTTCTGAAAAAATAACAGCCGCCACCAGGCCGAAGGGGGGTCCTGGTGAGGCTGGAACAATGCTGAGAATAAAAGAGGTGGTAAAAGAGGAGTTTTCTGTTATTTTTTATTTTGGAGTTGACTGGGAATATAAAAAATAATTCCTCCAGCTGGGAGTTTCATTGAAAAGGATAAACTGTCGTGTAAATATGTTTTTTTAAATGGAAAAAAGTAAAACATGCCTAGATTGCATGTGTTTTCAGTTAATAGACTTAGAAGGCATTTAGTATTTTCTTCTTCAGGGGGATCTGTCCCTTCTGTAGCCCTCAAGTGAAAAGTTCCATCATCAACTATTTGATGGGGTGATCCCTAAAGTCAAGAATCCAAAATCTGTATTCTGGCCTTGGCTTTATTCACTGGCTGGGTGATTGGGGCTAAATAATCACCCCCTCCCCACCATGGATCTCTTGTGATGTTTAAAATGGATGTGGTACCTGTTCCGTCTTCCACACAGAGATGCTATTTGATATGTGTTCTTGGGAAAAAAAAATTTTTTTCGTGGTATAGTTACCTGCGGTAGCACAATTATTTTAAACTCGCCTGTGATTTTTGCTCCTGCCAGTGGTGGTGAGTGATTGAAAATTGGTCACTTGGAAGCCAGCTCTCTTCATGAGCAGATGTCAGAGGGGATGGGAGGTAGTCAGGGGAAAACGGTGGCTTGAACACCACTTTTAGGACAGGTTTGTTCTCTTTGACATCATTGTGTGCCCTGGCCAGAGTGACACGTGTGTCATGACACCCCAGCACCATGAGAACCATTGGGTGAGGTTGAATAGAGAGACGTGAACAGTAATGAGGCCTGCTGTCTGCTGAGAGGCTGCTGAGGGAAGGTGTGAGAGGCCGGATGCAGATCAGGAGACTGGGCTGTGTGCACACAGTCATCCCACCGGGCTGTGCCCGTCAGCCTCCCTGCACAAAGATAACGCCAGCTCGAGCTCTTCCCTAACCAAGGGAGGATGGGGGAAGTTTGCCAGCGCAAAATGAGTTTTCTAGAATCTGCAGAATGTAAGAACGTAAGATCTCTGCTGCTTTGCGTAAGAGACTGTCAACTTCCTCTCCAGAGCCTTCCAGCCTCGTTAGGACTCCTTGCTCATTTATTGGCTGCTACCTCATAAATAATAACATCGAGGCCTCTGGGTGAAATCGAAATAGCACTGGAGTTGTGGCTGTCTTCTTTCTGTCTGTAAAATGGGGGGCGTGGGGTATCCTAGGTGCAGTAAGTGCCAGGAGCATGTGATGTCGTAACTGTGGCTCTGTGGAGACTTCCTGCCTATGTTTGGGGGCAATGCTGACGTGCTGTACCCTTTGGTCTTGCCTTTCATGTACCACAGGATCGATAAACAAATAAGCAGGTTTCGGAGATGGTTACCTAAGAAGCCCATGAGGCTGGACAAGGAGACACTGCCAGACCTGGAGGAGAATGACTGCTACACTGCCCCTTTCAGCCAGCAAAGGATCCATCAGTGAGTGTTTCCCGTGAAAGCCCTTGTCTTGCTAAGGACGTGCCGTTGTGTAGAGCCTGGTCCTGCACGCCTTTGATCCCTTGGCACGTGGGAGGAACAGCCCTCCCCCCTGCGAGTCCTGTGAGTGTTGATAGCCCTTTTATTTTAGTCAGGGAAAGCAAACTGCCCTAACAAACAACCCCCACATCTCAGGGGCTTAACACAATAGCGCACACGTTCATATGTGTGTTGGGTGGACAACCTTCTGCACGGTGGTTCAGCGACCCAGGCCCCTCCTGCCTTACAGCTCTGCCAATCCCCGGGGCTCAGAGCCCCCGGCAGGCTCTTCGGCACCTCGCCAGCAGACAGGCAAGCTGGTCTACACCTTCCCCTGTTGAAAAGAGGGGCTGTTGGTTTGTTTCTTTTAAATCTTAGTTCACTTCTCAGTTCTCCTCTCTTCAGCAATTTACCAAGTTGCCCCAGGAAAAGCCACGTCACCTAGCCGCAGGCTCCCTGGCCTGATCGCTCAGACAGTCTCTGAATTTGTCACAAAAGTAAATTGTCACTTTTGACCAGAGGTTGGTGGGGAGTTGGCTAAGTAATTGAGCCTTTGAGGACTTGCAAATGCGATAGAGAATGGACTCTGAGCTCCTGAGATGACAAGAAATCACGACCAGATGGCAGGGTTGGTGGTAGGAGAGACGAGCATGCCAAAGACAGGCAACAACGAGGTGAAAACAGCGTCTTACAGCGAAGATGAATCAGGTGGCCCAGCCTCACTCTCAGTCAGACTTCAGGAATTCCTGGCTCTCCCTGTTTTCAGCCTTAGAGACAGACTCAGTAAAAATGACTAATGAGGGGAGGAAAGGAGCGGCAGATTAAAAAAAAAATAGATTCCAACTTCGAAAAAAAAAAAACCAAATGGCAGTTGTCAAGTTGCAAGGAGCATAAGTTGGGGCCACGTTTTGGCAACAGAAAATCAGTTAAAGTCTGTGGACTTCTAGAGCTTGAAAGGAGGGAAGAACAATAAAAAATAGATGGCCTGCATCAAAATGTATAATGTGTGATGCAAGGGTAGCAACCCAGTCAGCCTCTGAAATAGCCAAACCCTGGGTCCCCACAGGTCAGATTGCTGCCAACCCAACCACATTATGTGAACATTTGAAGGGGTCATTGAATAAGACATTAAACTCCCAGCCCAGTTTCAACATCCTAGTTAAATCTTCCTCGGGAAATAAGAACTGAGAGTGACTTCCTGTTAACGCAGAGACCAGGACCTAATGGGCGTTTTCTTAAGAGAAGACGACAGATGAAAGCTGACATGTTCCTGCTTGCTCTTTAAACCCTCGCCATGCCTATGTTGTTCATCTTGAAGTTTCTGACATGAGTGGTTATTTCATGTTAAATTCTTTCAGAATAGACTCTGATTTATGTGCTAATTTTCCCGTTGCTTCTCCTGTGCCTAAGAGAGTGTCGAAGAGTCTCCTAGCACAGTGCAGGATGGATGGATGGATGGATGGTTGGTTCAATGAATTATATGGTGTGTATTCTGGTTTTTGTTTTACTTCAAAGACATGTGGGTACATGGAAGAGGAATGGGATGGATGGATAGTTGAATGGAAAAAGGAATCAATAAAGTAAAGTATATGGCGTGTGCACTGGGGTTTTGTTTTGCTTAAAAGGAATAAAGATAAATGGAAGAGGAACTTGATGGATGGATAGGTAGATAGATGGATGGAGGATTCAATGAAATATGAGGTGTGCACCTGGGGTTTTGTTTTAACTTCAAAAGGATAGAGGTAAATGGAAGAGGAAGGTTTCCCAGTCCTCATCTACATGCTGCTTCTCTTTCCTGGTGTTCTTGCTTTAGAGCAAAGTTTCTCAGCAGGGTTCTCAAAGTCAGAAGCACCTGGGCACCCATCAGGATCTCGAGGTAGCAGAACCAAAAATCAAATCTTTATAAGTGTTTTTAAAATATGTGATAAGTGAAGATGATAGCCTGTGGAATAGGGGTATTCAGTCATCTCACATACATGAGAAGCCTTTTTTGACAGGTTTGAGTATTCACTGAGCAATTGATTCATTCAGCAGTCACTAATTTGGTGTCTACTTCTTGTCAGGCACTGTTTGGGTACAGAGGATATAAGATAAATTATCCACAGTCTTGACCCTGACATAGTAGAAGGAAGAATATTTTACATAATTGTAAATAGTATGGTGGGTGTGACTTAAAAAAGGGAGTGCTGCATTCTTCAGATTTGGTGGGAGGTTGGTAAGAAATGAGGGTTGGTCACTGGAAGAAAATGCTTGAGATGGGTCTTGAAGGATAATACTAGTCCAGGTAGGTAAGGGGGGAAATGTAGTTCAAGAAGAGAGAATGATGTATGTATAAAAGAACAAAGGCATGAAACAGAATGGAGTATTTGAAGAACTACAAGTAGTGTTCTGTGAATGGGTGGTATAGGGTGTGAGAAAACCTGGCGTTACTGTTTGAAAAAAGAGAGTGTATTGGAAGATGAGCTTTCAAGACTGGAGAACTAGGAGGAAAATGCAAAGGGACAGCTGGAAGGAAACAGACCTAAAAACCAGACCTTAGTGGGACCAAGAAGAGAGTGCGTGCAGGTCTATCATGCGATTGGAAGATGAAAAACTAAACGAGATCTCGAATGTCATGGGAAGTGGGGATTTCTTCTCTTTGAAAATTATCATGCCTCACGGACAACATCCCTTTAATGAATGTGTAAAATTAAGACTTGAAGAATGCTGGCTGTCAAGTTGGAAACAATTGTTTGTGCAATCAGAAAAAAATTTCCCTAAGGAACTTTGAGAGCGCTGTTAATGGTTTTAAAGTAATCAGAAGTAGCTGGTTAATGAGCTCTCAAAGCTATAACCACATCTCCTGGTTTTCGAAATGCAGCCCCAAACCCCGTGTGACTTTGTGGTTTTGCTGGAATGTTTGATACTGTGTCTATCCAGGAATAAAAGAGAATGATGGGTGTGTGTGTGTGTGTGTGTGTGTGTGTGTGTGTGTGTGTGTGTGTGTGTGTGAATGTAGTAGAAAAAGAGACAGAAGAGAGTTGGAAGTTTAAAAAATAGTGATCGAAGTGGGAAAGAGCCTTAACAATATTTTGCTCTCAGGATAAATCGCAGACGCCTAAGCTAGCTCAGTAGCTGTGCTTCCATTCCCCAGTTGTGTGCTCTGGGTTCACTGAGCTACTTTGCCCTCCTCAACTCTGTGCCCTCTCCTTTCCTATGGCTCTCCCCTCTGCCTAGAGTACCGTTTTCCTTGGGCTCCCTTATTTCAGGTTTTATCAGAGACATTTCCTTCAGAAATCCTTCCAGGGTTTCCAACCTCCACCAAAATTCTGGGTGAGATTCACTCTTCTATGTCCTTTGAAAAAAATTGTTGGTGTGACATTGGTTAATAAAATTATACAGGTTTCAAGTGTACAATTCTATAATATATCATCTATATATTGCATTTTATGTTCACCACCCATAGTCGATTCTCCTTCTATCACCATATATGTGACCCTCTTTACCCTCTTCTGCCACCCCCCGCCTCCCTTACCCTCTGGTAACCACTAAACTGTTTGTGTCTATGAGTTTTTGCTTGTCTGTTTGTCTTGTTCATTTGATGCTTTCAGTTTTATATCCCACACATGAGCGAAATCATATGGTTCTCGACTTTCTGTCTGACATGTTTTGCTTAGCATAATAATCTCAGGGTCCATCCATGTTGTCTCAGATGGCAGTATTTCATATTTTCTTATGGCAGAGTTCTATTCCATTATGTGTATATGTCACATCTTCTTTATCCAATCAGCTGTCGAAGGATACTTTGGTTGTTTCCGTGTCTTGGCCACCATGAATAATGCTGGTAATATTTTTTTTCCTATCATAGCTCTTGATTAATAGTACCACCTTTTTAATTGCTTTTGCCTAGATTGTAAGCTCCTTGAAAGACTATGTTTAGATCATTATTTTTGAATCCCATCATTTGTGCTTACTAATGATTTATTAAATGAGAAAATAAACAGATAAAAATGAAAATTTTTATTTTTAAGTGAATAAAGAATAAAGATGATGTGAACTTAGCTTACTGCACACTCATCTTAAACTATGAGTAAATTCAAGACATTTTTCTCCTCAAATGTGGTCCACCTTCATTGTCCCTTATCCATTAAATGGCACATATTTTTACAGGTATTGAAACTACAGTCTGGAAGCTTTACAGACAGCTCCCCTGTCTCTACTTCCCACATCTAATAGATCTCCAAGGGCTGATGATTTTAAATCCTACATGGCTCTTTAATCCAACAGCTGCTCTCTCTCTCTCTCTCTACCGCTATTATCTCACTTTTGAAACCCAGAAACAACATGTCCCCTTGGTTCTATCTTTGCCTACCTTCAGTCCATTCTCACAAGTGCAAATAGAATGATGTTTTCCAAATGCACAGCTAATCATGTCATTCCACCCTGTTTACAACCCTTAGGATAAAGATCAAAATTATTGAGATGACATAAACGGCTCTGGATGGCCTGACCACACTGTCAACTCCTCTCCAGCCTTATCTGCCTTCCACCCCTCATTTCTATGATCCAGGCATATGCAACTTCTCTCAGGTTTTGGATGTACTCTGCCTCAGGGCATTTGCACATGCTGTTTTCGCTTCTGGAATTCTCTTCCCATTCCTGTTTCCTTCACCTCATTTACTTTCATTCATCTTTCAAAATTCAGCTCCAATCCCCACTCCCATTCTTCCAAAGACAATATCTCCTTGCCAAATACTCTTTTAGCTGCATGTTTCCTGTATAACATTTTTCACATTTGAAATTTTATAATTATTTGGATATTATATGATTAATGCCTCACTCTCCGGCTAAACTGTGCACTTCATGGAGCCAGAGGCCATGTCTGATTTTGCTCTCAATTATATCTCCAATATTAGTCATAAATCTTTATACTTTGAGTTACATTATTGAAAAAAATTAAAGTTGAGAATAAATGGAGAAGCAAA